ATCAGTTGACTCCCGGTCGCCCAGGCGAGTAGACGGAGGGGGATTTCCCGAGGCGTGTACCAGGACCAGGTAAAGACTATGAAGCCCATTGTCATGGTACCCATGACGACTCCGCGGACTATGCGTATAATAGACATGTGGATGAAGTATTCCGGTGGTATGCAGAGGCTGAAGTCGGCGAATCCTGCGAGCTGTGGTCAGGATATCATGAGCGTAACTGCATTGGAAGATTGTAGCAAACCTTTTAGTATGAACGTGATTGCAAGAACTCGCCACAACTGAACACGCTGTATCAACAAGAGCGCCGGTATCTGGATGGCCAAGAAGGCCACGCTCTGCAACGCCAAGTCATCGGCGAGTTTTTCCGAGTAGCCTCCATACGACGGCATGTTATAGGTGAACTATGCTGCTATCAATATATTGACGTTACTTTGTAAGTAGACCGCATTTACTTACCCACATGACTGGAATGAAGACAATGTCAATTCTCCCAACAAACCCCCTTCCTCTCAAAGTAGCTTCAGGGAGGGCTGCTGGCAGCTCATTCTCTTCTCTGGGGTCAGCATTCAGCGCAATGTCGTCAAATTTTGATGAGTTTGTCTCAGTTGTAGGAATACCGTCTCGAAGATTGGCAGCTCTTCCAGTGCTTCTATTATTTAGAGCATCTTCATCGATGAGACCTTTTGTCCTGTTGAGTTTCTCTTGAAGTGTGAATCGAACTTTCCCCAGGGTAAACATGCGCTCTAAGATATCCGTCTTCATCTGAAGAATTGTCTGTCGACAGAAAGTGTTCTGAGCGTGATCGTAGGAGCATAGTACTGCACGTTGCATCCCTTTAGCCTGTCCACAGATGAGTATCGCTGTTGGTGGTCTTGCAGCACTAAATCTTGTAACAGTCATCGAGTAAGTGTCGACCAGCGTAAAGAGGTGATCTTCAACAGACAGGCTGTGAACTTCCCGCCGTATTTCGTTTTGGACATGGCAAAATTGGGCTCTGGCTATCGTTGGATCCTCTCTCAGCCTCCCATGATTATATCCGAAGAGGTAGCGCTCGATAGTGCTGTTGTGTATGTGGCCTTTAATTCCAACGAAGCGGGCCTGAGTGGAATGCAGGGTCCCGCCCCAGATGGCAATGAGAATTGCTGGAGCCGATAGAATTAGAGCCATGAGGATGATGAAGACTATCATGGCGAAAGTAAGTGTTAGGCGTGAAGAAGTATCGTTTGGATCAAATCCCAGAAGTCCAACTTGGATAAGAAGCCCGATGATTGCTGCAATAAAGCATGGGAGCGTCACCAAAGCTCTTGCTGCAACTTTGTTTACCAATGAGATCTCCTTGGAGAATTGAATGGGGTCCAGGCAATCCCAATGAATCGTGGCCCCATATGCGCCTTCGATGACGATAATGTCGTTACCCATGTCGTCCCTCATCACCTCCGCAATTTGGCACTTTGGTTCAACTTCATGGAGTTCTGCCCCCCAGGCATCTCTGATCTCGGTCCAAGGTGCGTCTTTTCGGAGGGGTAACATACAAAGCGTGCGCTCGAGAAGTCGATTGCTGTCGTTGGCGAGAGAGAGTCTCGCAAAAGCTTGGAATCCGGTGTCGTGTTTGTTTGCTTTTAGTCGCTTGCGCAACAGGCCCATCAACGCGTAGACGATGTCGGCTTTGCAGAATTGATCTGTATGCCGTCTTGCTAAGCAATCCAGAGCAATGTTGATAAACTCCAATTGAGAGACTGGTGTTCTGGATTCGTAATAATCCAGCAGCTCTACCACGGTCTCTGCATCGTTCCATGCTCGTTCTGCAAAGTTGCGTTTGGCCATCCTTTTTGGTACCAGAGGTCCACCGGAGGTATAAAGCTTTACTCTGTGCTCAGGAGGGCAAAGTAAAATCTCGGGCAACGTCCAGAGACGAGAGCCCCACTGTTGAAGCCACCGCGTTTCAATCCGAGAGCAATACGGCACCAATTTCCCTTGGATCCGATCTTCAACAGGAGGCCCAACAGCGATAATCATAGAATGAGCCGCACGGACAACGTCGCAGATGAAATAGACATCGTCACTGCTCGCGGAGTGTTTGGTTGAACCATCTTCTTCTCTCAAACACTCAAAATCGATCCAAAAGGCACCGACTCCTGCTTCTCTCGCGGCCTCAACGCCCCATCTGGTGAGAGTTTCCCTGTCTCTTTTAGCAGCTTCACGGTTCCAGTCTCTTTCACCCTCATCCCTGTAATGCGGCCACTCGGAGATTTCTAGGTTAGTGTTCACACGGAATTGCTTCCGTGTGTACGACACAAAGACAAACTCGGTACCGTCATCTCCATGTTCCTCAATCCAGTCCTTTACTTTCATGGGTCTGTACCCATGTTTGCTCGTATCGCTGAGGAAGCATAGGTATCGTGGACGGATGAGTCTTGAAGAATGGCCCCAAGTCTCGTGGCCCGATGGGGATAGGGTCTTTTGCTGCTGATTCTGCTGAAGTTCAAAATTTGCAGGCACCCAAATGTCGTTCAAAGCTATCCCTTGCTGTGAGGGGCACGCGTCATTACTACCCACCCCACGACTCATCCGAGAATCTGCCAGGGCATAGTCGTCTCTGCTGATGTCGTATGGGATTGGGTCATAAAAGCTCTCATGCTTGGTATCCTCTTCCCATACATTGCCCTGGTATGGTTTACAGAGCTTAAAGATTCCGTTTTCTTAGCACACCGGACTCAGCTCGCAAGGAGCAGGAGACATACCATACAAAGCAGCAGAGGCCATGTAAGCATCCACCGCAAGAAAACTCGAGTTATAGAACGCATGTCAAGGCTGTACTCGGCACCGCCTTCACATAGAATTGGTGAACATATCCAGTATGTAAGATGTATGATTGAAGGGATCTGTGGTGGTGGCATGGTGATCCGGGTCCACTCTGAGCCATGGATTGGCGGGTCGTCTGATGATTCAATACTCTGGACGAACAACGGGACCAACCGCCCGTCGGTTGGTCGGATAAAGCATTGGCGGTTTCGGAGACTCTCATTATCTCCTGGATAATTTCTTGCAGGTGTGATCATGGTTGGCGTGGATTGTGTGGGAACGTAATCTTTCAACGGCAAGTGCAACGCCTTTTGTATCGGGTGCTTAGGTCAGAGTTGGTTGAGACAGCGGAAAATGAAACATGGCCCCCAAAGGGGCGGATTCCAAGGTAACGTTACTCCGCGCGGAGGCAGAAGCTGACAAGGAGCCAAATGGTGTTCAGGCACACAAGCTGGAGGAGAAACTGATTAAATTCGAAGCTTAGCCTTAAGATATCGACATACTCCACACCGACTGAGTTCCTTGGTGCATTTGTGTGTAACACATCTTTCTCAGCTCAGTCATACGATATATCCGCTGGTTGACCAGAGCCTCGGGATCCAATATTGGGGGCGGAAACACAAGTATGCAACCCCAATGATTGCAGCTGATACAGCCCCCTCTCGCAGCCGATGGCTAGGGCGAAGAATAGCAGGGCTTTAGAACATAGCGTAAATATGCCCCAGCTCTGCCTCAGAAAAAAATAATGTATGTGGGTAGCTGAAGCTATCGTCCAGACGAGAGTGTCGAATTAAGAATTCCACATACACGTCCGGACGATAGCTTCAACTACCCATGACATAAGCAAAAAAAAAAAAATCCCACGCTAGCCATCGGCTGCAAGAGTGGACTGTAGCTTGAGGCGCAGGGAGTTCGTTGCCTAACAGTGTAGTACAAGGCCATCTGCACGGCGGCGAGGTGTGACAGGGCAGTGCAAGGAAAAACACCAGGTCGACACATTCAGCTTCCAGGAGTGCGACAAGAGCACACAAAGCATTCTCTTCTCCTATGTATCGTCTTTGCTCTTCTTCCTCAAAGAGTGCTTGACCATGTTAAGCAAGGATTCGATTTTTGATCCCTGCTGTCGGAAATTAGCAACAAGCCTCTCTGCGCCTGCTGACGCGGACTTTTTGGTAGGTAATTTGGAGTGGGAGATGGGAAAAGGAAGAAGTATGCGATGCATGGGCCAAAGGGCTAAGTTGAGATGCAAAGTGAAGATGGAATTGATGGGTGGTCGAGGAGCGCGGGCATGGTGGTCGGTGAGAGAGAGAAAGCAATAGAAGATGGACCGGGCGCCGCGGCAGTCAGGCGGTAAGTAGTAAATGGCGGTGCGAAAAGAGCCGTGAGGTGTGGCTTGTGCGTGTGGCTTGGAGAAGTCTGCTGGTGGGGGCCACAGCCGCAGTTGGACCGCCACGTCTGGGCCTTCCTCTACCGGCTGCTACCGCTGCCTATCCCAGCATCCCCACGGGGACGATCGACAAAAGTGGTCCAGATGCCGGCTGCAGCCATCCACCTTTTCGAAATCTCATCACCTGGTACATGCCGAATGAGCCCACAAAGGGACTTTCCGAGCCGCGGCGAAGACTAAGTCGGTCTCGAGCTAACGCCAGATGCCGGGTAGGGCCGCGCTCTCAGCCGCTCGTGCCTGAGCGTTGGGGTTAGTTCAACGTGGTGGCGCAGGGAAAGACACCGAACCGAGCAGCTTGTTGCCTCTTCAGGCTAGTTTTTCACTCGCCAGCTAGCCACGTGGACCAATGTGCCTTGCTACTTTGCCGTTTTGGAACTCGCTCTCGTACCCGCTTGCATCGAGATCTTTTGGCCGTGAGCTGGAATTGGCATCGCACCACTATATTCGGCCGGCCCTTTGGTTCTGCGGTCTCGGCCGCACCAAAACCACTGCGGCGGCTCTTACCGTCCAGCTGGCAGACGCCTACACCACGAATCCGGACAAGCAAGTGCACGATGGCTTCACCATGGCTTCACGATGGCTTCGAGCTGGCTGCGGCAGCTCAGCTTCGTCGGCCTCGCCGTGAAGCCTTCGGCGCTTCTGCGAAGTTTTCGATTTTCTGCATGCCTGGAGGGTCTGTATAAAGAGTATCCAGCATGCTCGACTAGAATCAGCATCCAGCAAGCAATTTCTCTGGTCTTCTCTCTTGATCATGCGGTCCTTCATCGTTCTTCCTGCGCTCGCCGCGCTGGGTGCTTCCCAATCCACCACCACGGACATTCCGGCCGATGTCAACCCGACTCCGGATGCCCTCGACTTGGATTTCCTGAGGGGCGCCGCCGTCCCGACCTATACCACGGTCGAGGGCGTTTCCTCTCAGGAGGTTCCCTACGCCACGGCCACTGCCATTGCGGCTGTCGAGTCTGACTTGAGCGAGACTCCTCTCTCAGTCTTCCCGGCCGTCACTACCGTTGCCATCAACGCTGCGGGCGAGAGCGAGGCCACTGCCACGGCCACTGCCACTGCCGACAAGCGTGGCGTCGAAGTATTTGAGAAGCGCACTGCTTGTGCTCCTCAGGCCACCATCTCCAACTACTACGACATCGATGTGTCGACCTACGACAAGTTCAAGGCCGACGCCAAGATTGCCTCTGTGGCCAACGCTGCCGCCACGCCGCAGGGCTACTTCCAGAACTTCAAGAACAACGATGGCGCCAACAGTGCCTACGCCTACCTTGGCTACACTGTTCTCGACACTGGCTACGATGTGGCCGCCTGTGCTAAGACTTGCACGGACAAGGACGGATGTCTTTCTTTCAACATCTACTTCGAGCGTGATCCTACCGTCGAGCCGGGTGATGGCTGCGAGGACCCCGAGGCCTTCGCCAACATCAAGTGCTCCTTCTGGGGTAGCGCTCTCGACACGACCACGGCCAACAACTATGGACAGTGGCGCGCGGATTTCCACGTCGGTATCGCTGGTTCCAACGCCTACACTTCTTACGAGATTGGCGGCCCCGTTGATGGCTGGACCACCCCGCTCAGCCTTGACAATGCTGCCCTCAATGCTCCCCTGAGGGACTGCGCTGGTACCTGGACCTACATGGGCTACAAGCTCTTCCAGGATGGCCCCTTCGACCCTACTCTCTGCGCTGCCGCTTGTGACGCTCAGACCGAGTACAACATCGCCCACCCGCCGTCCAGCGGCTACACGCCCCTGTGCGCTGGCTTCGGCACCTACCTCCTGACCAAGACCAACTCGACTGGCTCCTTCATCCAGGGCCAGATGTGCACAATGTACACGTCTGCCTGGGACGTCGAGTACGCCGTCAACACTGCTTCGTACGACGACTCGATCGGCGCCAAGTACACGTACAGCTACAGCTTCTTCTACTCCAAGTCTGAGCTGCAGCCCGTCTGCGACGCCGACCTCTCGTACCTCCAGAGCGAGGCCGCCGACTTCTGCACGTCGTACCTGGCCTACAGCGCCCCCGTGACGACCACGACGGCCGTCATCACCCCCAGCGGCTTCACCACCAAGGTCACTACTGTTACCACCACCACTGTCAGTGTTGCTGGCACCGTCACCGGCGCCGCTGTCTGGAAGCGTGACGACGACTCCATCACCACCAGCCTCGCCACGGCCACCGACTACACCACCGTCGCCAGCCTTGCTACCGACGAAGTCGCCGTCCTTGCCACCGTCACCGTCGCCCCCATCCCCTCCAACGACACCCTCTCCTCGGCCAACGCCATCGAGAAGCGCGCCGTCGCCACCCCCGCCTCCATCTCCGGCTGGGCCGCTGCTAAGATTTCCGCCGCCTGCTCGCGCGTCGCCACGGGCACCAATGTCATCACCGCCACCTCGACCGCACCCATCCTGACCACCACCGTCGCGGCCACCGCCACCGCCTCGGTCGGCTCCTGCACGCTCCCCACGCAGCTGCCCGCCCTCTTCGCCTGGACCCCGCTCGTCGGCGCCTGGGACTCGACCAACGGCCAGCCCGCCTCCAACCCGTCCGGCGCGCACTACGCCCAAGCCTACACCGCGCAGCTGCCCTTCAGCGTCTGCGCCTTCGGTACTTGTTCTGATGTGATCAGCGTCGGCACCGACGGCTACGTGTCGTTCTCCGACGTCCAGCTGCACGCCTACTCCAACCTCGGCAACGGCATCTACATCTACCCCGGCGGCGCGCACGGCGTCTTCTACCGCGTCTCCGGCGCCGTCGGCTCGCGCCGCCTGACGCTGGCTTGGTACGGTGCGACGATCTCCTGGGGCCACCAGAGCACGCATGTTAGCCTCGAGTTCCGCGAGGACGAGAGCAATGTCGTGTACTTCAAGTACTTTGACGTCACCCAGGACGCTCCCTGGGCCGACCGTGCCGACGTCTATGTGCAGAAGGGCAGCACCGTCACGCGTGTTGCGGCGCAGGGCACCAAGATCGATACCGGTGCGCAGTACAAGGTCTCGACTTCGTCTGGCGGCTCTGTTTCGATCGACAAGACTCTGCATGATCGCGTTGAGTGCTGCACTAAGCAGGGCTGGCACAGCTGCACTGAGTTCGGTGCGGATGGCGCTGTTGCTTAAGTGGATGATGATGGATGGGAAAAGTTGGGTTGATTGGCGTTTAGTAACGATATCTCTCTGATTAATTGGTTGGGTTGGGTTTGGGAGTTTCTTAATAGAGCAATGAGATGAATCATTTCTTGAAATCTTTTTTTCCACCTGTCGTCCTTCATGCACCAAGCCTCTGAGCTATCTTTTGACTCTAACTTTGCCCCTGGATTCCCTTCTCAACACTTGTCCATGAGGATCAACAATTACTGTTTAGGACTTTCGGCTTTCGGCCATGTGGCGGTATCGTATGATACACAACGCCGTTGAAAGCCGAGGCCGTCGCCGCCGCTAACCAATGGATCCAGTGCGCATGCATGTCTTCCTTCGCCGCCATCAGCCCAAAACACCTCGCCGGATTAAGCGCTAAAAGAACGAAGTGTCAGCTTGTAAACATCCAACTTCTGTAAAGGATGGGATTTATAGTCAGGAAACAGCTTACACGCCCCGCCCCAACCCTCCTTTAAGAATCCCGTCGCAAAGCCTGTGAATGCTACCGTCAATCCAACCAATATCGGACTCAAAGCCGGTCCGAAAACTTCGCCTTGCCGCGGATCAAGGCCGACGCCAAAGGAAAGGAAGACGGCCACGAGATACGAGCCGAATTCCAAAACATACGACTGGCCGTAGCTGACGAGCGAAGTGTCGATGGTGCATCCAGGAATTACCCCCTACATACCACCACCACCACATATCAGCTCAACTCTGCCCGCATTACCGTATCAAATCATCGCTTACAAGAGCGAAGTAATCCGCCCCGCTGACCCCCAGCTTCAGGAGAAACGCCCCGGCCACCGCTCCGATGCACTGGGCAATTATATACAGCACCGACCGCGACAACGTCGACAGCCCCGCCGCAAACGTCGACATGGTGATGAACGGATTGAGGTGGCCGCCCGACGCCGGGCCCGCCGCGAGAATGAACAGAGAGACGGAGAACCAGTTCGTCAGCGCCCCGACCAGCGACACGCCGACGACGTTCGCTGCGCGGTACGGTCCGAGGGCTATCCCGATCAGGCCGGTCGAAAACACGAGCATCGACACGCCCCAGCATTCCACGATGGCGGCTTTCCAGATGACCGGTTGGAGGAAGCCGCGCAGGTCGATTGCGTCCTTGAAGTTGCGGAGAGGAGCGGCGTCGGGCGTTTCCTTGACGATTTCCTCGGCGTCCGGGTTGTGGTGGGATACGGTAAAGGCCTGGTTGCCGCCGATTCGGCCGGCGAATGGGCGTGCTTCTGGTTGGTCTTTATCGGAGATGGTGAATCGTTGGTTCGCTCCGAGCCTGCCCGCGAAGGGCAAGGCCTGCTGGGTCTCTTCGGTGGCGCTCTTAGGGTTCTCCATGTTCGGTGCCGATGCATCGATTTTCGAACAGGGAAGATGGGGTGAATATAAGGTAGACGGGTAGTCCACCACCCGCTTTTACCAAGCATAAGCGTACCGCTGAATCCCCAACCGCTGACCATCACGGCGGAGTTAATTCCGTAGCGCATTGTTCAGGTGCTGTAGCAGAAAGGTCGTAGTTTCGAAGGGATATTCGGGTGAGGCGGTCTGTAAGCGCTTACGAACCTTACAAATAAATGCTTTGTAAGCACCCGTTCCAACGCTGTAAATAAATAGAGAGAGCATTTGAGGAGATGGAGTCAATCAAGAAGGTATACCGCGTTCCCTGTATTGTGCTCGAATTCATTTAGAACCTTTTTGTGGTGCAAACCTCTTGATTTCCAGGTATGGTTAACTTGTGCCAGCGGGCAGGTACGTATTGTATGTACCTGCACTCCACTCTTCAGCCACCTCCGCCCTGATTATCATTCTCGTCAAGCCCCTCGACGAATCAACAACACTCCACATCCCAATCAATCCCGCCCCGTTCCGCCGCTGATATCGTGCTAGCTTCTCGGCACTCAGTCCTTAAAGGAGCCAAGCGATGCAAGCCCAAGCAAAACTCCTTTGCACTCCCTTGGCAGCGGAAGACAACACACAATCAATTAAAAATCAATCATAACGGCGTCCGCGTCACTATCCGGCAGTGTCCGGGAGTATTACGGCACGCCCGCCCGCCCCGCTATCTACCGGCCAGCAATTCAAATATCAAAAATAGCCGTATAATAATTCTGTCACGCACGACCATTGGAAAGGCGTCGCAAAGATGCTGTTGATGATGGTTGAAATATGATAAAAGTACCGAAAAGACAGCAGATGCATCCTCACTGTCACAAAACAAACCAGTCCGTTCGTGCTGCACCGCCGAGAAGCACCTACAAGATTGTAGGTCACTTAATTCTGCACAGCGGTGTCCGGGACCTTAAGCGTGGTAAAGTTCCAGGTCTTGCCACCGTCCGAAGTCGACATCTCTCCTCCCGTCGCGCCCTGTTCCCAACTTCCAGTGTGGCAAAAGCTCTCATCCGCTTGGCTCAGCGTAATGGATACATCCTCCCAGCCTATAGATGTTTTAGTCATCACTTACTTTACAGGGTGATGGGAATTCGGAGACTTACTGTGAGCAGGAGCAGTGGCACAAGTGCCAGCGGCACACTCGATTGAGATGTAAAAGATCTCGCCGTGCTCTCCCTTGCCTGTAAAAGATGCTGTTAGTTCTGCAACTGAAGAAAGAGACGCTCCAAACTTTGGTGACGTACTGGTCGAGACGGTGGACACAAGCTCGTCGTTGACGTAGAGGTTCTGGTCCCACATTTGCGTTTCGGAGTTCAACTTGTCTGAAAAAGAAATGCATCAGCTGAAGTGCCATCAAGAGCTACAACTTCGATCCTGCATACAATGCGTCTTGATCCGCGACCCAGCAGCGGCCTTGACCGGGGTCCCATTCTTGGCATCCGAGCCTGTTCATCACGTCACGTTAGCAATGCATTCAAGCAGAGTCATGAAACCGGCCATATTTACCAATAAGCGCGTATGCAAAGTTACACCAGTTGCTTCCGAGGTCGGTGCAGTACCCGAGGCTGTAGATGTCTTAGTCATATCTCCTCCAGCAATTTTTAGGTTTAGCCATTACCCCGCAGGAGCGTTCTCGGTTACTCCCTGGAGGAAGGAGGCCTCGTTTTCCATCATGATGGCACTCCACAGAGCAACGTCTCCCGTGATGGGGTTGGGGATGTCTCCGACGACGAGGGTGGCGGACGCTTCCTGGATCCACGCGTCGGAGTTCGCGAAGAGGGTGACGACGTCGAGGTTGGCGACGGCTTGGTGGGTGAGCGTCAAAAGGACGCCGGCAGCTGCGAAAGTCTTCATGGTGGTTGCGATGTTTGCTTGAAAAAGAAAAAGTTCCGGAGTGGATATGAGATCTTGGAGAGAAGTCAAAGTGCGCTATGGATTGATCTATAGAAGATGGGCGACTTATATACACGATGTAGCGTGAACAGCAGTGCGAGTTGTTTGTATGAAACAAAAGAGTGGACAGAAATAACCCTTGCACGCATCATGAATTCAAACACGAGCAAGCCCCTGAGCTAGGGACTGCTCTATGGCTAACAAAAGACCCGAAACGAAACGGCTGTTTCGGCCAACTTAATAAACGGAAGGCGGTCCCGAGTGTCCGTTTAGCCGCTCGTTGACCCCATTCTCTTATGATCTTTTCAACCATATCAATAGACTCCGTGGTGTTGTACTTAAGCAATCACTTTCCTGGGCACTGAGCTGGAAAAGCTTATTATCTGTGGGGAAGCAGAGCCGTTTAATATACTAACGGCAGAATTCGTAGCGTAAGCATTGATGTTTGGGGACGTGCGTCACGAATTGCAAAAGGCAGGCGTCGCCGGACGATGCAGCATTCGAGCGGAGAAGGAATGAGATACCGGAGTTGGTGCGCTTGACGGATAGTCTGATCTGACCCTGTCTTAAAAATGTATCTGCGACATGCAAGATTCGTTCGGTTGTGGCCTGACCTTTTTTTTTTCTCCTGCCGCTTTTGGCTATTTTTCGTACTGCTTCTGGTCATTTTTCGCATTGCTACTTCTGTCAGTCTTTGAAATTGCCCGCCTATATTGTGCGTAATTATATTCATAAAAAATAATTCGGGTGCTGGAAAGCCAAATCCACTTCACATATTCATCGGCCTGTCTTCCACAAGGCTAGAAAAGAGACATACAGTCATCTACAGCACCAGCTTCAGGTTGGTGACAACACTGTTTGAAACACGAATTGTCCCCATGTAATTTACCTTTCTTCAAACTTGACACGAGCAGACATCATCCCAACACTGGGTGAACCCACTCATTGCCAGCAGCGTACATGGACAGAGGAGCAAGGTGTATGATGTGACGTTCAGCTGCGGTCAAAGCCGTGGGCGTAGTCTTTGGGCTGCTCAACGGATTGTAAGATCAACGCGTGAGTGCATAACTGTTCACATACGAATACAGTTTAGAAAGCAGAAACCCTTGGATTGCATTCCTTTAGCGCATGTCAATCAATCTACGACCAGCTACTAGCGGACAGCCAGGCGACTGTCTGTTAAATGGAGAATATAATTTCAATTTCCAACCTCCTCTATCACGTACGACCATAGGTCGCAGAATGCAGGGCTTCCCGTCCGCTCAGCCGTACTTAAGCTGCGAACCGGCCGATTAGTACTCAAGTGGGTGACCATTGGGGAATCCCGGCTGTTGTACGTTTTGCGTTTCGTTTTGTCTTTCGGGCCGCTCCTTTCCTTTTTTTAGTCCTCCAGTGGGCCTTCGCTAAAGAGTACGCTAGTAACCTCTAGCCACCTTAGGCAAGAACAGCAGGGAAACGCTGGGATTGAAGGTGAAAAGTAAGAGCTTTATTTTGGAATGACTCAATTCTGGGAGGGCTCAAAGCGGAACCATTACAAATATAAAGAGAAAACCAATAGCAGAGGAGTCCATTGCAAGACCGTGTTCCGAACATATCCTTGCGAAGATTCATGGACTCCACGGATCGGGTTGTGTTTAGGAAAGGACCTCCTCTCAAGCACAAACTGAGCAGAGACGAGCTCGCTGTCACTCAAGGAAATTTTGGATAATGTAAACCAGCACCTTCACATGAGGGCAATGGTTCGAAAAGTGGGATTACAGGATTCCCATCGGGCCAACAGAATTTCGCCGATCCCAATGCGATACGCCACAGAGCCTTTCCAGCCCACAAGCATCACATTTAGTACCGGAGGTGGATCAAGAGGTTTTCCTTCGCTATCTCGACAAGTGAACTCCAGCTGTTCTTCGTCAAAACGTGAAAGTTTCTCCGATGGGTCATTAGAATCAAGTCTGTATCCTTGTCGATCAGTCTGAGTACTTAGATAAAACAAGTGAAGACCCTGACCTTTCCGTAGATGAATAAATATCACCATCCTTGTCAATCAGCCAAGATGATTGTTCTGAGCTGTAAGCTATTGATAGAGCGAGAAAGGTGAAAGAGCCAGCGTAAGCCCCTGGCGCGGTCATGCCCAATTGTGATTCGCAAAAGTCCGGCGGTATATAGAATAAACCAATGCGTACGCCCTTGGTATCAACTATGAAGAAATCGCAGTCCAATTCTGAGCGCTTGAGATTGGCAGGAAACCTAACAAGGTTGAGTTCAGCAACGGACGTCCGTACGAGCAGCAACTTGGTGAGTGGCAAGCGCGTATCTGAACCCAGTGTCGGGAACCGATGAGAGCCGTGAACTTCTTTCCAAAAATCTTCGTAAGTACGCCATCTTTGGCAGGGCTCTTGATGTTTTTCCGCCGAAAGCTCGCGTGGCATGGGTGTCTCGATACAGCTTTGCCACGCAGCAAGCATATACTGACGTGGATCAGTTGGGGCTCGTTGAGAATAGCTGCCAGTATGTCTCAGAAGTGGCTCTAAATGACGACTCGACGATGCATCTGTATTCCAGTGTCCGGAAACATCACTTGTCGATGAAAGTATCCTCAAGTGGCCCTTCTCATCTTTGATGGCCCACCTGGCCACTGATCCTATTGTGTTGAGCATGACATTTTGCAAATAATCCACCTCGCCATCCCACGAAGGCCAAGCCCACGAGGGGATTCGAAGGTTCTCATGGTCGACTCTCTCTCCCGCAGCACCGAATGACCCTCGCCATAGGATCGCGTAGTCGAACGCACTTTCCGGAAGCCCGCAGATATTAGCAGCTAAGTCCGAGTACAAGCGCTTGAAGATACCAGCAAAGGCGTTGTATACATCCGAAGTATATTTCAGCTCGCGACGCGAATACAGAAACACACATCTTGCATACTGCTGAAAAACAAGGTAAGAGCTACCTTCCTTGTAGGTCCTGCCAGGAGGGAGAGTCTCAAGAGTCGACCATGGTGCGTTTACTGCAAGCGAATCCTCTGAGAGAACCGTACCGCCGTATCGGAAAAACATCTGCCAAGGTGTGAAAACCAGTAACCTCTCGGAAAGGATGGCCTCCTGGTACGTCCAGCCGCGAGAATTCCAAACAGATCTCGCTATGCTCCAGTTGATGTTTGGAAGCAGGGGCAATAACCTTAGTCGTCCCAGTTGCAAGTAAGGCCAAAAGAATTGCTTGGTGGTCGTGCTAACCCCTGAGAGTCCGTGGTCGGAATTTGTTCCAGCTGCTTCACAAATTGTAAAGAATGCTGAAGAGTATATGGCATCCATTGCTCCAATCTGGTCATGTTTTTGGGCAGATTCGTCCTGTACAATGCACAGGCGGTCCACCCATAAGTAGGGCGTATCCAGTTCCTGGCAGACAGTCATCGCATCCCATATTGTCTTTGGTAAGGTATCAGGTGCCAATGCACCCGGCTTTCTGAGAGTTTTGAGATTGGATCTGCGTGCTTCGACTGTGTGCCGCTGACACTCTCCCCATACGTAACTCAAAGCCGCGAACTTTGGGTTCTTTGGTGCTCTCACAATGCATTTCCGGCGTACATCGATTAAAGCGAAATCGGTGGGAAGGCCGTGGATTGTCGTCGATGACTTTCTTGAAGACCGATGTAGGTACATCGAAAACTTTTGCTTAATTCGAATTTTCAGCATTCGAAGACCTTTTGAAAGACCGGAGTGACTTTTTCTCATGATTGCAGGTTTTTGATACAACCAACTCCTCGCCTTCGACAAGTCTGCTCTCGCGCTAGCAATACGGGAATTCTCGCTTGGGGCTCTGATATCGATAGATGGACTGGCGGCCCAAGTGCCCGGGCTGAAAACCTTCACATGTCGCGAATCCAGGTAGGCCATGTCGGATGATAACTCTCTTGCGAGGTCCACCTGAATGAGTTGGGGTTGCTTGAGCCCCTGGGGTGATTCAGAACTGTGCTTGCGAGGGTCTCTCAGCCCTCCGAGCAATACAATTGCCGCCGATCTGTTGTCCTCGTCCATTTCCAGAACATCCTGCGGTAATCTGAACAGCTCCACTATCATTCCACAAAAGTGACAAGATTGGCGTTGAGAAAGATCTTTCAGAGAGCCTATGTTGACGAGAGGGACCCTTGTAGGCAGTGTTTGCTCCAAACAGACAAACAAATGGTGGAGTCGGAGGTGTTGGCAGTGTGAACAAAGCATACTTAAGTCATGCTCTATCGCGTCGCAAGTAAGGCACGGCGCGGAGAAAATTTGCTCCAAATCATCGGGAGTCGGTTCGACGCTGTCATTTCGATACACGTCTTCTGCGAGGACCATTCGAAAGATTTTTGGATAAGAAGAACATGTAGGGCCAATACAGTCCCGTATGCTGTGCGCTGCGCTGGCGTCCATGACACCAGCATGGACATTCTCATGTCTTTGCCAGAGAGAGAGAAGCTATGCTATGGAAAAATTCGTGATCAGGTAGCTGCCTCAGGTGTGGGGTCTGACACGTCTGTTGAGGTGTGGAAGGGCTGTGGGTCTACGCATACATGATTGGCCGCGGTGAAGTGAGCTTCGCTTCTTCGACCCACCCTTGCCAGCATGCAATCCTGGATCGCTGAGCTCTTCTTTGCTATTCTTCGCCCAATCTTGCGGGTTTCTGTAATTTTCTGGGATCTTTCAAGGAAATATCAGCTGGAGCAGCTGCTTCCTCTGTTTCGTCTGGGCTGAGCAGACACTGAAATCCTGTATTTTCAACGTTTGACTACTAGCGTTGTGTTGTCACTATACAATAATCCTTTGTGCTGAACGCCCAGTCCCGTGGCCCCTACTTTCTGAAACCATCTCTTCTTCTGTACTAGAGTATTCTTCTGATGTCCAACCATCAGCAAGCACGACCTTTGTCCGCTCAGGATTAAGTAAAAGGCTAACTACAGACTCCCAACCACACTCTGTAGCTTTCATCAA